GGAAGGGACGCTTCGACCCGTACAGGACTACCGCTGATTGAACGCGATCACGGTCAAAAATCGCTACCCCTTGCCACTGATCGCCGAAATGGTGGATAAGCTCCGTGGTGCCACGCTCTTCACGAAGTTCGATGTTAGATGGGGATACAACAACGTCCGGATCAAAGCCGGCGATGAATGGAAGGCAGCCTTTGTGACTAACCGGGGACTATACGAACCCCTGGTGATGTTCTTTGGTCTCACTAATTCCCCCGCGACCTTCCAGGCCATGATGAATGAGATCTTCCACGATCTCATCGTCGGCGGCAAGATCCTCGTGTACCTGGATGACATCCTCATCTTCTCCACCAACAAAGAGGAGCATGAAAAGGTCACACGTGAGGTTCTTCGTCGCCTTCAGGACAACGATCTGTTCCTGAAGCCTGAGAAGTGCGAATGGGATGTTCCCAAGGTCGACTACGTCGGCTATGTGTTTGGTGGCGATGAGGTGGCGATGGATCCCGCGAAGTTAAAAGGAATCAATGAGTGGCCGGTACCCCGGAACAAAAAAGATGTTCAGAAGTTCCGGGGGTTCTCCAACTTTTACCGCTGCTTCATTAAGGACTTTGCTAAGATCTCGCGACCACTCGACCGGCTCACAGGGAACAACCCATGGCGTTGGGGCGAAGAAGAGCAGCACGCCTTCGATGAGCTCAAGCGGCTCTTCGCAATGACTCCAGTCCTAGCGCTGTATGATCCTAATCAAGAGACGCGCATTGAGGTTGACGCCTCGGGCTACGCCACTGGCGGCATGTTGATGCAGAAGCAGGATGACGGCAAATGGCACCCTATCGCCTTCAGATCCCATGCGATGGATCCGGCACAGCGGAATTACGAGATCTACGATAAGGAAATGCTCACGATCATTGAAGCACTGGACGATTGGCGCCACTACCTCGAGGGCTTACCCAATCAGTTCGAGATCGTAACCGATCATAAGAACCTCAAGTACTGGCGCACATCCCAGCACCTCATGCGTCGTCAAGCACGATGGTCGCTGTTCCTGGCTCGCTTCGACTTCCGCATCACGCACAAGGCCGGGACGTCCAATGGAAAGGCTGATGCCCTGTCACGTCGATCAGACCATCAGATCGGCGATGAGGACGATAACACCGATCAGGTGGTTCTCAAACCTGAAAGGTTCCGCATCGCCTCTGCTAGGCGCGGTCATGCCTCCGTGACAGCCAATCAGTCGCTTCTGAAGCGCATTAGGGAGTGTTCGGAGAAAGATCGGCAGGTGGCCGAGGCACTTGAAAAGGTACAGGACCTCGGGCCGCCCCGGCTGCAAAGGGGTTTTGAGGAGTGGAATGCCAAACAAGGGCTTCTGCTGTTCTGCGGGTGCGTGTATGTCCCAAAGAACGCGGAGCTCCGGCAGGATATCGTCAAGATCCACCACGACTCGCCGATTGCCGGTCACGGCGGTCGTGCCAAAACCCTTGAGCTCATATCGCGGAATTACTGGTGGCCAGGAATGTCTAAATTCGTCAATGAGTACGTAAGCACCTGCGATGTGTGCAACCGTACCAAGACATTCCCAGCCAAGCCCCAGGGTCCGCTGAAGCCGAACGAGATCCCCGAGCGCCCATGGCAGATCATCACGACCAATATGATCGTTGGCTTGCCGAAGTCTGATGGGTTCGACTCGATCCTGGTTACCATCGACCGCTTCACAAAGCAGGTCCACTTCTCGGCCTGTCATGAGACCCTGACGGCAGAAGGTGCGGCAGACCTGTACATCCACGATGTGTTCAAGCATCATGGGGCCCCGGCCAAGGTCATATCAGACCGAGGTCCCCAGTTTGCTTCAAAGTATCTCCATGCGGTGTACAAGGGACTGGGAATCGAGCCGGCGCTGTCCACAGCGTTCCACCCCCAGACAGATGGCCAGACTGAGCGCTAGAATCAGGAAATTGAGCAGTACCTGCGTGCTTTCACAAGCCACAGGCAGGATGATTGGGCGAAGCAATTGCCGCTCGCGGAATTCGCACTGAACAACCGAGTTCACTCCGCAACCGGGCACTCCCCATTCTTCCTGCATCAGGGGTACCATCCTGAGATCCAAGTGCGGATCAATCCGATGTCTGCGATGCCTGCAGCCGCTGATCGGCTCAAGATCTTAAAGGAGATTCGCGATGACACGCGCTCTGCGCTCGAGCTATCAGCTGAGCGCATGAAGATGTACTACGACAAGCACGTGCAGGAGGCACCGGTCTTTGCGCCGGGGGATAAGGTCTGGCTTGATGCCCGGAACCTTAAGCTGAAACAGCCAAGCAAGAAGCTCAGTCCCAAGCGCCTCAGACCATATGCCGTGCAGCGAAAGCTCAGAGATTTAGATTACGAATTGGTTCTGCCGAAATCAGTGCCAGTGCACCCAGTGTTCCATGTCTCCTTGCTTAGCAAGTACACGCGCAGCAATATCCTGGGCTGAAAGCCGGAGGAGCCACCTGCGATCGAGGTTAAAGGTGACAAGGAGTACGAGGTTGAGCGGATCAAAGATTCAAGGATCTTCCGGCGTCAGCTGCAGTACCTCGTCAAGTGGAAGGGTTATGACGACTCGCATACGTCATGGGAACCGGCACGCAATGTTGCCAATGCGCCGGCCCTCATAGCCGACTTCCACCGGAAGAACCTGAATGCCCCTCGTCGCCTCAATGCTACTACCTTTGGTGGTCTCAACTTTCAGCCAATGCCTTCACCGCTGACTGAAGCACGCTGCCACTCCGGGTGGGAGATGGGCAAGGGCGCCTCACATGAGGTCATGTGCTGTTGAGGGGGGGGTAATGTCACGAGTTGGTACGGCATCTAACCGTTTTTTAATTTTTCCTTTTCGCGGGCTTGAACCTGCGACCTCTGTATTACATGCCTGATATGGACACGTCGCTATCTACTGTACAATTAGATTAGATGGGCGGCAGTGCGCAGCACAGCTCGGGCTCCACTGACACAGCCTCTCTGACTCACCGGCCCCCGGGGCCGCGTCAGCATGCTGTGCACGGACCAGCTGCGCACGGACCAGTGTGCACAGTGAAACATTTGTCCTTCCGTTCTATTCCTTGTACTACTAGCGCCCATACTGGCGCCTGTCTTAGCGCTCACCCGCAGGTTGAACATTATGTAGCTTACATAATGGGGTCCGTGTGCACTTCGTGCCTGGTATCGTACCACTACGTTTCTTTCTTCACTAACACGACCACATAGACACGATGGTCCGTGCGCAGTCGGTACTTGTATAAGTAGTTGTACCATTAGTCGGTCGAACCCTAAGTTCGACCTGGTTATTCATTCAAGTCTCTGCTCCTCTTTGCTTGGGGTAGTGGTCATTCTCGACTTCCTCGCTCGATCTTCAGGACGACGCACTGTCCATAAGTCCTCGCTCGTCGTCTACGAGTCAGGCATCAATATAGGAGTGTAGACCGTTGTATCAAAAGGTCGAACTTGCTAAGCTACGTTCCTAGTTTCACCTAGTCAAACAACTCATCCA